TCAAAAACTTCTTCTAGATTACTGTATAACAGCATGCCCTTGACCACTACTGAAAAACTGCAACTACACTGCAGCACATCTGCTGAGTCAAGTTCTAGATTCCATAATTTAGGAGTGCCAAGAACATCTTTGGAAAAGTTCAGAGCACAATGATTTAAAATACTGTAAGGTAAGGCTCCGGAGAAAAGATTTAAAAGTCTGGGATTGTTTAGTTTAAGGAAAAGAAGGCTAAGAAATGACCTAACAGGAATATATAAAATGTTATTATATAGAAGGGAGTGAGTTGTCATTCTCAAATGGAAGAAAATGGGCTATGAAACAGAAAGATTCAGGTTCTATGTAAAAGATTTCCTGACAGTGAACTAAATGTCTTAGCTTTGGATGTATTATGATAAATCTTAGTAATTTATTTCACTTTGTAGGATTGTATACATTTTCTTCAGTAAATTAAAAGGGAATACTGTACTTAAATGGATCTGTCATCTAATCCGTTTTCTCCAATTATACAGTTTGTAACTCATCGGTATGATGATTTTTACAATAAAATTACCTAAGACTGAACTTTAACCACATTTTCACTAATACTTTAATAACTAGAAAGTACTTTGCCTACCATTAGATATAGTTGCAAAAGTTTTATTTTTTACTAATGAACCTCTTTCTAAAAAACCTGTGAAAACATCTCCTATTTAAATATGTGTGTAAGTGATTTAAAGATACACATAAGGATATGTAAAAAGGCTATGCAATGGTTTTCCCTTTTCAAGAAAGTCTAAAATACAATCAATCAAAATCAAGCTGTGTTATGCTATTGGATATCTGGGGGGAGGGGATAGTCCTGAAATTTCTTTGATGTAAGGAATTCAGCAGGAAGAAATTCCCTCAACTAATGGAAATGAGCAACTGTTCCACAACTTCAAGTCTTAAGAAAGTTGTCAATTGACAGTAAGAGGTTGACTTGACAAGGGTCACACTCTCTCTCAGTGGGAGAACTAAAACCCAGGTCTTCTTGATCCTGAGGTCAGCTTCTCTATCATGTCACAATGCCCCTCACTCATAGACACTGTAAGTCAGAATTATTAATATACACATTACCACTTAAAAGTTAAGCAATTTGGAGGCAGAGCCAAGATGGCAGAGAAAAAGCAGCAACTCACCTAAGCTCTCCCCAAAACCACTCTGAACACCTTTAAATAATGCCATAAAACAATCCCTGGAGCAGCAGAACCCACAAAAGGACAGGGTGAAATAATTTTCCAGCCAATGACAACTCAGAAGGTCGGCAGGAAAAGTCTGTCGCACTGGGGTGAAAGTGGAGCTCAGTCCAGTGTAGGCCATGCCAGCACAGCCCTGGCCCCAGCAAACCAGAAGCAGGCCTTGGGAGTCACTCAATCTGCAGTGGCAGCGGCTGCTTTCAGAGCTCTCAGCCCACAGACAGTAAAAGGAGGCCGAATAACTTATCAGAAGGAGATTACAAAGGTCTTTTTGCTGGGACTGGGGGTGAGACTCTGTTGCTTTGCCTCTACTCAGATCTGGGTCACAGTCTTAGGTGACAATCCCAGGGCAAGGAGGAGCACTAGGACACCAGAGCTTATAGGCAGCAGTGTAGCAGGAACCCTCTTCACAGTTCCAAGGCAGAAAAGAGGGTTTGTGGTCACTCACAGACCAGAGCACAGGCCAGGAGAGCAGTAAACACCTCTCCTAAGAGCATACTACTTGGAACTGAAAACTTATAGGTCCCTAGAAGTATCTCTGAAAACAACTGCACGAAAACCCTGAAGCGTGGGACAGTGCACCCTCTGCCCTGGAAGCAAAGCCCCACTCTAACAAAGAGTTAAAAGTCAAGAAACAGACTAGAAAAATGAGCAAAAAGGAAAAAAATCTGATCACAGAAGGTTACTACAGTGACAAGGAATATCAAAATACATGCAGAAGAAGGTAACAAAGTTAAGGCTCCTACATCCAAAGCCACCAAGAAAAATATGAACTGGTCTCAGACCATGGAAGAGCTCAAAAAGGATTTTGAAAATCAAGTAAGAGGTGGAAGAAAAATTAGGAAGAGAAATGAGAGTGATGCAAGAAAATCATGAAAGTCAACAGCTTGGTAAAGAAGACAGACAGACAGACAGACAGACACACACACACACACACACACACACACACACACAAAACCTGAAAAAAACAACACCTTAAAAAACAGCCTAGGCCAAACAGTAAAAGAGGTACAAAAAACCAATGAGGAGAAGAATGCACTGAAAAGCAGAATTGGCCAAATGGAAAAAAAGGCACAAAATTCACTGAAGAAAAAACTCCTTAGAAAGTAGTTGGCCAAATGGAAAAGGAGGTACAAAACCTCAGTGAAGAAAATAATTCCTTAAAAATTAGAACTGAGCAAATGGAAGCTAATGATTTTATGATAGATCAAAAAAACAATCAAAACTTAAAAAATAAAAAAATAAATTAATAAATTTTAAAAAATCAATGTGAAATATCTCACTAGAAAAATAACGGACCTGGAAAATAGATGCAGGAGAGATAATTTTAAAATTATTGGACCACCTGAAAACCATGATCAAAAAAAGAACCTAGACATCATCTTTCAAGAAACTATCAAGGAAAATTGCCCTAATATTCTAGAATCAGAGGATAAACCAGAAATTGAAAGAATCCACCAATCATCTCCTGAAAGAGAACCCAAAATGAAAACTCCCAGGAATATTATAGCCAAATTCCAGAACTCCCAGGTCAAGGAGAAAATACTGCAAGCAGCCAAAAAGAAACAATTCAAGTATCATGGAGCCACAACACAAGATTTAGCAGCTTCTACACTGAAGGATCAGAGGACTTGGAATATGATATTCCAGAGAGCAAAGGAGCTAATATTACAACCAAGAATCACCTACCCAGCAAAACTGAGTATAATCTTTCAGGGGCAAAAATAGGCATTCACTGAAATAGAGGACTTTTAAGCACTGTTGATGAAAAAACCAGAGCTGAATAGAAAATCTGACTTTCAAATACAAGACTCAAGAGAAGCATAAAAAGGTAAACAAGAGAGAAATCATAAGGAATTTAATAAGGTTAAACTGTTTACATTGCTACCAGGGAAGATGATACTTGGAACTCATAAGAACTTTCTCATTATTAGGGCAGTTAGGAGGAATATATATAGACAGAGTGCTACACAAGTTTAAATTTAATATGAAGGGATAATATCTAAAAAAATAAAATAAGGGGTGAGAGGAATGCACTGGGGAAAAGGGGTACACAGAATGGGGAAAATTATCTGACATAAAAAAGGCAAGAAAAAGCTTTTACAGTGTAGGGAAAGATGGGGGAGATGAAAGGGAGTGAGTGAAACTTACTCTCACTGGAACTGGCTCAAAGAGGGAACAACATACACAGTCAACTGGATATAGAAATCTACCCTACCCTATAGGAAAGTAGGAGGGGAAGGGGATAAGAGAAAGGGGGAGGAGAAGAGGGAGGTAACATAAGGGAGGGCAGATTGGGTGAGGGGGGAGTCAGAAGCAAAACACTTTTGAGGAGGGACAGCGTGAAAGGAGAGAGAGAAGAGAATAAACACAGGCAAAAACAGGATGGAGAGAAATACAGTTAACAGTTTTAACTGTGAAAAAAATTTTGAAGCAAGTTTCTCTGATAAAGGCCTCATTTCTCAAACATATAGAGAATGGAGCCAAATTTATAAAAAATAAGAGCCATTACCCAACTGATAAATGATCAAAAGATATGAACACTTTTCAGATGAAGGAATCAATGCTATCTCTAGCCCTATGAAAAAAATGCTCTAAATCACTACTGACTGGAGAAATGCAAATTAAAAAAATTCTGAAGTACTACTGTTAGATCGGCTAATAGGACAGAAAAGGTAAATGACAAATGTTGGAGGGGATGTAGAAAAAATGAGACATTAATGCACTGTTGGTGGAGTTCTGAACCAATTCAACCATTCTGTACAGCAATTTGGAACTAGGGCCAAAGGACTATAAAACCATGCACACCTTTTGCCCTAGCAATACCACTACTAGGTTGTATCTCAAAAGAGATAAAAAAGGAAAAGGACCTATATGTACAAAAATATTTATAGCAGCACTTTTCTGTGGCAAAGAATTGGAAATTGAGGGGATGCCCATCAAGTGGGGAATGGCTAAACAAATTGTGTTATGTGATTGTGATGGAATGTTATTATGTTATAAGAAATGATAAGCAGGATGCTCTCAGAAAAACCTAGAAAGAAGCTGATACAAAGTGACATGTACTGTGTACAAAGTAACAGCAATATTGTAAGATGATCAACTGTGAATGACTTCACTATTCTCAGCAATATAATGATCCACGACAACTCTGAAAGACTTATGATGAATGCTGTCCATCCCCAGAGAAAGAACTGATGGTGTCTGAAAACAGGTTGAAACATTTTTTTTTTACTTTATTTTTCCTGAGGTTTTTTTTGTCTATGTTTTCTTTCACAAAATGACTATTATGGGGGCAGGTAGGCGGCACAGTGGATAGAGGACTGGCCCTGGATTCAGGAGGACCTGAGTTCAAACCCGGCCTCAGACACATAACATTTACTAGCTGTGTGATCCTGGGCAAGTCATTTAACCCCACTGCCTAACCAAAAAAAAAAAAAAAAAAAAAAAAATGACTATTACGAAAGTGTTTTGCATAACTACACATGTATAACCTATGCCAAGCTGCTTGCCTTCTCAATGAGGGGGATGGGGAGAGAGGAAAGGAGAAAATTTGGAATTCAAAGTTTTAAAAATGAATGTTAAAAGTGGTTTTTACATGTAATTGGAGAAAAATAAAATACTAAACAAAAAGTTAAGCAGTTCACAATTAATTTTAAGTATAAGTATTTTTCACAAGGGATCTAAAACACATTTCAGCTAAGTATTATTGATCCAAAACTTCAGTCTATTATATGTATGCAATTATTTAATATCACACACATATAATATTTAAAATAGACTTACCTCTATTGTAGGATCATACTCATCTACAAAGTGATTCTGAATTAGCTGTATTGTCAAGGCACTCTTGCCTACGCCACCAGCTCCAACTACCACAAGCTTATATTCAGTCATTTTCAGCAGGCCTTATAACAAAAAATAATAAAAACATGATCAGAATATTCTTTACATATAAATTTAATGTAGTCCAAACTGTCCTATAGGCTAGAAATGAAATGGATACCTACCTTTATGTGGGACATACTTTTAGGATATATTCAAAAAATGTAATATTGAAAATAACTTTAGTAAAACTTGTTTTAATGGCTGCAATGGATAGAACATAAGTCAGATTTCTGCCTTAATACTATAAGCTACATAGCTTAGAAATCTGACTTTCATAATGCTTATGATAACTTTCCCATCAGCATCTTGAGAAAAATAAATCCAATGTGAATACAGGCATGGTTCTTTTATCTCATACTCTGACTAGACCTTTTTAGAATGGCCAATGTGTGGGTTTTGAGCTCCTTCTCACTGGACTATGTCATGACTTCATGGATGAGAAGTGCATAGAGTACAGCACTGTACACCCTCAACTAGACTGACTGCATACCTCCACTGCTGCCATTGTCATTTTTCATGAAACTCTAGCTTCTAAAGAGATGGCAATGGCTGTAAAAACCACAGCAAAGATTAAGAATAGGTGGCAAGAAACACAACTTTGCCAGCTTCAGATAAAGTTGACAAGGAAGTAAAGTTAAATAAGGTTAAAAGTGTATAAGAACAAATTATTTTATTAATCAAAACATTGATTTTTAAAGGATGTAGAAATAGATTCCCCCTGCCATGATGAAATCGTTCAATGTCGATTTGTTCAACATCCAGAATTTATCAACATTACGTGTACTACCATACACACCCTGCCCCCCAATATGCATACATGCGTCTGTATGCATGTATGTGTATATGTATGTATGGCGTGGCCACTAATTTCCTTTATGAAACCCAAGAAAAAAGAGGTACATATAAGAGAGGCCAATCAACACCATTTAGAAGGGAACTGACAATAATCCAAAACTAGATATCAGTTCTGAACAAATTACTTAAATGTGTGCATGAATGCACAAACAAATATATTTAGTGTTTGTACATAAATTTACAGTACATAGAAAAAACATAGAAAAAAATTCTTGGCTCACCCAAGAATAAGAAATATACAAATAGGTCAAAATCCAGATATTCTGGTTTTTCAAATATACCATTCCCCAGCCTGTTTTGAGCCCTACTCACCAACAGGGCCTTACACTCCAAAAGTGTTTGTGTCAGGTAAAGAATAGCCTCTTAATTTACCTTTTTCCATACCCATTTGCCTCCAGCATGAGAACAAGGAACTTGTAACAGCCTAGCTCTCAGCTACTACAGCCAGGAATCTCCTGCTATTTGGCCCTACTCCTGAAATGGTCAGCAACAAATGGCATGGAGAAAACCTACCATGCTTCAAAGCTTAAGTAGCAGTTCCTACACAAGACCTTTCCTGATTCCCAAAAGTTGTTAATGCTTTCCCACATTAACTCATATTGATCCCTTGTATGTTTTGTATTTACTTTTATGTACACATCCTGTTTCCATGAATAAAATGTAAGGTCCTTGAAGGCAGGGGCTCTTTCCTTTCACTGTGAACTCAGCAAATAGCACAGTGACTGGTACATACCAGGTGTTAAATAAATGTTTATAGAATCTGAGCCATAACTTCATCTCTTAGCTCCTGCCCCCCCCAAAAAACCCAGTTACCTTAAAACCCCAAAAAAAGCAGATGCTAACTCAATGAAAGTTAACCATGAAGTGCAAAATCCTCAGTCTGACATTTATGACCTCCACAATCTAGCTCCAGTCTCCAGCTTTATCTTGTACTACTTTCCTTCATATACTCTACAGCACAATGGCTGAACACAGTAACATATTTTTCCATAGGTGCCTTTACTCATGCCTGGAGGGTCTTCCCCTCAAATCTACTTATTTAAATCCTAAACATTATAGGTTCATAGGATTTAGAACTGAAAGGGACCTTAAAAATGATTTAGCCAATCCTCCCTCAGGCTTTTAGAAAAATGATGTAACTTGCCCATAGATTCACAATAACAAAGCTAAGATTCAAAATTGAGTTGTTGTTTTTACTAAATCTGGTGTTCCTTGCACTAATTTCATTCAAAGGATAGGGATGGACCCTGTGATTTCATTGGTCTAGGGAAATGGTACTTTGTAGTCTTAGGGAGTTGCCTGGTACACTGAGAGTTTAAATGACTTGCTCTGGGTCACACAGACTAAATATGTCAGGGTAGGACCTGAACCCCAGGTCTTTCCAGCTTCAAGGCTGGCTCACTACCTACTCTGTCAGACTCCCTCTCTCCTTCAGAGCTCCTCAAATATCATTTCCTCCCAAAAAGCTTTTTCAGATCCTCCAAACAGGAAGGAATCTCTTTTTTTTTCCTGAACTCCCATAGAACCTCTCTAATGGCACTTAATATATCGTACTTTATATCACAATTCATATGATCATAGATTCAGAGCTAGAAGCGCTCTTAAAAGCCATTTAGCCAATCCCTTCAGTTTACAGCTGAGGAAACTGAGACTTGGGAAGGGTTAAATGATTTGTTCAAATCACAGAAAGAGCTTTGTGGAATTAAGCCTCTAATGGTACCTATCCACCTACTTCACATCTCCCTTACTAGACAATAAGCTGCTAGAAGGTACATGTCATTCATGTTTTATTCACTTTTGTATCCACTGTTGCCTATGTGAGGTGCCTAATCAATTTCTACCGAATAAACAAATGGTACATGTGTATGAAAATTTCGATTTCTATACACATGAACTGTTCCTGCAAAGTTGAATGTAAATAAAATCACATTTTAAGTTAGAGGAATAGATCATTCAAAGCCTAAAAAAATAAATCTTATGATTTTTGGAGCTAGAACTAGCAGTATAAAAATAAAATAATACCTAACATTTGTATAGTCGATACTATGTGCCAGGCACTATGCCAAGTGCTTTACAATTATTATCTCATTTGATCCTCACAACAACCCAGGGAAGTAGGTGCTATTATTATCCCCATTTTACAGATAAAGAAAGTGAGACAAACAGAGGTTAAGTGACTTGCCCAGGGCCACACAGCTAGTTAAGTGTCCGAGGCTGGATATGACCACTTACCTGACTTCAAGCCCAGCACTCTATCCACTGCACCACCCCAAGCTCATCGCTGTACAAATGAGAAAGTGACAGTAGCACAGCCAAGAAAAGAAACTTACCAATTTAAGGTAAATAATAGCCTCTTAATTCAAATTTTTATGTCAGCTGTTAAAAACAAATTACATTTGAACATGGCTAGTTGCCTAGTTGCCATCAACTATATTCCGTGGATAAAGTCTGTCATTCTGAAGCTGAGTCCATCAATACTGACATCAATCAATGACTAACGTTAAAACTGTCTGGATATTAATAGCCATTTTCCCTTCTCTAATTCACTATGCTTATTTTTGCATATGTAAACATCAGCTTGTGTGGAGCTTTAGCTATAACATATGCACACACCTGATTAAAAGGCTGCAGTAGGTTGTTTTGGCGGCCACAACTGAGTCCTCACCACTGGTCATTATTGCTAAACGTTGGGAGCTGTTACAACACGGTATTACTGTAGTAACTTCTAGGATGGTGAACACGTTCTGCATTCTTCAGTAGAGATAACCACTTTTAGTTTGTGGGCGATATTTTTCTTGCTTAAAAATAAACTTGACTCAGCAAAATTCTCTGGGATAAACCATTTTCCGTTTACAACTCATACAAGGTTTAATTCCACACACCTAGAGCTTTCTGCTGACACTTGCCGAGGCTACAAAATGTCACATACAAGGGAGGTAGTCGGAAACTCAGCGGCTGCAGCAGGACTATCCCCAACATAACCTCCGACGGGGGTCTTTGACTACTTCTCAATTCTCTTGGGAAAGGACCCCCCCCAACACACACACACACACACACACACACACAGTCTTTGTTCACAAGGAAAATGAGCACTTAGCAGCAGCGGCGGCAGCACAAGAAGTTTCTCGCTCGCTCGGGGAGATGCTAAGGAGGCAGGGAGGACATCGCCAGGCACCCGGGCTGGGCAGGAGAGGCGGGGAGGCGGCCAGGAGGGAGTGCACCGACCCACCGACGGGCAGACCGGGGCGCAACCTCCACCACGCCCGGAACCGCCCTCGGGGCGGCCGAGTTTCAGCTCGCCTCGAGCCCGGCCGGCTCTCCGGGGAGGGAGGGAGGAAGGAAGAAAGAAAGGAAAGAAGGAAGGGGATTCCCGTTCAGGAAGCGGCGGCAGCCTCTCCCTGCACCCCCACGGCTAGTCCCTGCCGCGGCTCTGTCCCTCCCACCCAGCCCGGGCTCCCCCACCCCCCTACCCCCGCCAGGACCCCTAATTCATTCACTCTCAGTCCGCCCCGCCCAGCCTGGCGCCGGCGAGGAAAGGTCGGACCCCGGGCAGGGACTCGGGAGGGAGGGCGGCGGGGCCCGTACCTCTCTTCCGCGCCGGAGAGACGCTGGGTCTCGGGCCCGCACGGCCGCCTGCGTTAGCGCCGCTCTCGAGCCCACTCTGAAATGGCGGGGGCCGCGGAGCTCAGAAGGAGCCGGAGCCCGAGGCGCAGCCACCGCTGCCGCTGCCGCCTCTGCCGCCGCCGCCGCCGCCGCCACCGCCGCCTGGGCAAGTCGAGCCCCGAGCCAATGGATGGGAGCCGCGAAGGCCGAGCTATCGATGCGTTCCGCGTTCGACTTCTTCTTGGGCGGGCGAGAGAGACCAGGGAGCGGCCAGGGCGGTGTGAAACGAGAGAGAAAGAGGGAGGGAGCCAGGCGAGAGCTGAGATCGAGCGGCTAAGTGAAGAAGGAAGAGAGTCGGTGCAGGCGGCGCACCTCACGTGCGGGCGGAGCTAGACCGGAGGAGGAGAGGCTAGAGCGCTAGCTAGCTCCACGCCCAGCCTGACAGACTAGCGGCCCCCTTCCGCCCCCCCTCACTACACACACCCATCCATCCACATACACACAGAGGCTGCCAACTGGCCAATCCCCTTCCGCCCTCCAGGCCACACTCCCGCCCACGCGGCTCTCCAGCCACTCACCTTGTCTCTGGTCGTAGACACTCTCCTCCCCCTCCCACACAGCCACCCTGAGCGGGCCACCACACCTTCGGGTCTCCCCGTGGGCTCCCTCCGAGCGAGAGAAGCTCCCTGTTCTGTCCCTACGTCTGGTGCCCAGACGACCTGCCCAGGTTCCCAGAGCGCATCTTCAGCTGTTCACGTCCTTAGATCCACGGGTTCTATCCATCAGCCACGGCGAAGCAAAGCTACGCTTCCGTGCCTTCTCACGACCCTGAAAGCCTATCGTTGTCTGCTTCTGCTCTGCTGTCCGGCTAAACTGGAGGACTTTCTGTTCCCTGAATCCCGCCTTCCATCTCCCACCTGTGCCTCTTTTTTTTCTCTCTCTACCTATGTTTTATTGGTATTGAGAACTTCCAGCGACAGATGTAGATAAGCATTTGCTGTACAATTTGTAGTCTTGGAGTGGGGGTCCGCCAACTTTAAAGGAAAAAATCATTCCAATATAATGAGTTCCCTTTGTTAAACTTTGTATTTTATTTCATGCATTTTAATTTAATTTTTTATTTTTTTCTCAATTACATGTAAACTAAAATTTTAACATTTTTTTAAAATTGTTCCAAATTCCGTCTCTCACCTACCCCCCTTCTTGAGAAGGCAAGCAATTTTATATAAATTTTATGTGTGCACTTGTTCAAAACAGTTCCATATTAGCCATGTTGCAAAAGAAAACAGACCAATATGCAAAAATAATAAAGTAAAAAAAGTCTGCTTCATTCTGCATTGAGTCCATCAGTTCTTTCTTCATAGCATTTTTCATCATAAATCCTTTGGAATTCCTTAGGAAACATGCTTAAGTCCATTGGTTTCAGGAGACTAACAAAAGGGACTGTGATATACCCACACCCTCCTCTCCCTCTACTCCCCATAAAAAGGATAAGAACCCTAGCGAGAGCTGCCTAGGAGGTAGTGATTTGTCCAAGGTCAGACAGGCAGTAGATGTCAGAAGGACATTGGAACCTAAGTTTTCTGGGGTTATTCCACACTGTTTCTTTAAAGGCTATCTGTTCCCCAGATTTGGAATACATTCCAGCCTCACCTCTGCCTCTTAAAATCCCTAATTTCCTTCAAAGCTCAGATAAAGTGCTACCTCCTGCCTCGAGCCTTCATGATATTCCCCCAACCACTCCCACTCCCACCAACACCACTTTGCCTCTCACGAGTACTTTCTCCCTCCTAAAATTTTTTTGAATTTACTTTATCAGTATAATTGTTTTATCCTCTCCTCAGGGTAAGGGCTGTTTTTGCCAGCTAGGTTGAATTCTGGATAGAGTGCTAGATTTGGAATCAAGAAGACTTGAATTCAAATCTTGCCTCAAACTGATACTGTCTGTGTGACCCTGGTCAATTCATTTAATCTCCCTGTCTTAACCTGGTTTCCTCATCTGTAAAATGGAGATAATAATAACACTTATTCTTCCAGGGTTATATTATTTAAATCAATATAACATGCATAAGAGGTGAAAACAAAGTGTTAATTTAAGGTCCAAAGAAGGATGGATCATTGCTAACCTAAGGAAATCTGGAAAGGCTTCCTGGAGGAAATTCGATTTGAGTTGCCTTTTAAAATGGGCACAGGACAGTAGAGTCAATGAAAAAAAAGGCCCCCATGTATACCATAATTTTTATGGAAACACTTTTTGTAGTAGCAAAAAAAACCCTGAAACAAAGTAGATACTTATCAATAAGGTAATAGCTAAATAAGTTGTGGTACATTAATATAATGAAATATTACTGTGATACAATAGAATATAAGATATAAGAAATGATGAATATAAAAAGCATGAACTGACGCAAGTTGAAGTAAGCACAATATATACAATAATTACCATGATGTAAATGGGAGGAAGAAACAAGAACAAAACAATCCCAACTGAATACTGTGAAATTATAATGACCAAGCTTGGCTCCAAATGAAAAGAAATCTTTGCTCCTTCTTTGCATAGGTGGGGGATTATTGGTATGGTGTGCTGAATATGATGTAAGACTTCTCTGATTCTGTTCAGTATTGCTGAACTGTCTCTTTCTTTTTTATAATGTTGAAGAAAAGACAATACTAAACTTTGTGTTTTCATCACAAGTGGTCCAGAAAGAATTTCATTAATTTTATTCTAAATCCAAGCATCTCTAGGTTGGAGAAATATTCAAAATGTCATGGTATTACCACACACACCCACCCACCCACCCACACACACACATAAACACACACACAAACACACACACAAACATACATACACACCTCTACCCTAAGACAGTTTGAGGTAATATTCATAGTGATTTACTCAATTTTGAGTAAACATTCTATTCAGTTTAATAGAATTAGAGTCTCTAAAAACTTCTCCTAAGCACATTCAATTCCTCTTTTGACAACTCCCCCCCACCCACGAAGAGTGAAAAAGTTTTTTCTCTCCTGTAATCAATACCTTAATCTTTTTTCCTTAATCCTTATCCCTCCCCAGTAGAACTCCTTCGGGTCTCAGATGTATAATGCTTCAGAAACCTCTTCAACCTGAAAAGTTCTCTACACCCTTAACTTCACACATTGGAACTACCCTCCCTCACGGCCTTTCCCACTAATTGTCTAGTTCCTTCAGAACCTGCAGTTTAAGGAGGGCAACCAAGCCAGCCAAATCTTCATCCCTCACTAAACTGCACTCCATACTGTCCCAAACTCTTTCTACTAGGACCTGATGCTGACCCATCCCCCTAACTGCCCCTCCCCCAACCATATACCTTCATCTCGTCCTTTTCCTGCCTCCACTCTCTCAGTTTTTCAACATCCTTCTATGTATTGTCTTCCAGCCACTAGAATGTAAGCTCCTTGAGAACAGGGACTGTTTTTCTGCTTGTGTTTGTTTTCCCTGAACTTAACAGTAAGGGCTTAATAAATGCTTCTTGAATGAAGAGGGCAATGTCCTAAAGTAGGTCACAGCCTATCTCTTCCAGAGATGGAAAAGCAATGATTTTAACTACTTTTTTTTTGTTGTTGTTCTGTTTGGGTATCACATTGAATTCATATTCCTGGGACCTTGGCTTTTGTTATCGACCTTTTTCATATTTTCCTAAAGGGAAAGTTCTGAAAAAGGACCTTAGATAAATATTTATTTCTTGATATTTTCAGATGAACAAAAAAAAAGTGTTTAATATGCTTCCACAGTTATAAGAAAATATCTCTTGGAGAGAAAGAAGAGTGAAATATATTTGGTAAATATAAGTGATATAAAAACAAAATATATACATAACAAAAAAATTTAAAAGAGGAGGGGAACATTCTAGGAATAGAAAAAGCTTATTTTTACATCATCCCACACATTGTATCTTCTCAAAACATTTTTCCTGGCAGTTCTTTCCTCTACATTCTCACTCTTACCTTAGTACAAGTCCTCATCACCATCCCTAGATTGCTTCAACAGCCTTCAAGTTCTCCATCCTCTAATTTACCCATCATACTGCCAACCAATATATCCTAATGGTAGGTCTTTCATCATTAATAAATAGCAAGAACCTATGTGAAGACAAATGGACTAGACCCTGAAGATAACAAAGACTGAATTCCAGGCTTGCAAGTTACTCATCTAGTTGTGCTAGATTCCACTCATTTCATAAACAGACTAATGATAATATAATAAGAAATATATGCTAATTGTGAAAGTGAAGATACCTGGAATGAGTTGGGGGTCTAGACACTTAGACATAAACATCCTAACAAAAAAATGCAAGCAAACTGTGGTATAGGATCATTAGAGGTAGTTAATTGCCACAAAGAAAGAAATGAAACGCTTGGAAATTTTCTCAGCAAATGTTGCCCCAAATGAGTGCTGACCCACTCTTTCTTTCCCTAATATATTCTGGAAAGATAACTCCCCTTTATGCAGCATCCCACCTAAAAACTGACTAAAAACATAACAATGTCTTAGCAGCTCTTCTAGCTTCTTATTCACCCCTTTTGTACCTCAGCCAGTCCAGTTCTGCTCAGTACCATGAATTTAGACACTGCCACCCGCTTCTTATAGAGGCACTATAGTATATAACCCACAAAGTCCTGAATTTCAGAGTTCGAAACACTTCAAATCCCACCTCTGATACATACTAGTTGTCACTCAATTTCTTTAAGTCTCTGTTTCCTTGCCTAAAAATGGGAATCATTTACATGGTCTCTATGGTCCCATCTAGGTCTAAATTTATGACCCTATGATCCTTGCTATCTCTTCTCTTCATGGCTCTGCTATTCTTTCTCCTATTCCTCATCTACTCAGGATGATAACAACCCCTTACTGATAATAACAGCTAGCATTTATATAATTCCTCAAGGCTTGCAAATTGCTTTACAAATATTATCTCATTTGATCCGAAAAACAATCTAGAGAGATAAGCACTATTATCCTTGTTTTTATACATGCTGAAACAGAGGTTAAGTGACTTGTCCTGGGTCACACAACTAACGAGTGTCAGAGCCAGGATTTGAACCAAAGGTC